TTTGCGGTTGTGTTACTTCACATTTCTAACCTTGGAAAGATGTTTTACATTATTAAACATACATTTTTAAAATTCTTTTTGGTATAGTTTTTTTTTCTAGGGGATGTCATTCTTATTGCATTGTAATACACTTTTAGTTGTTTTTACCGCACCCAATTACCAACTCTATATTCACTTTGGGCATGAATAAAATCTCTTCTATAGCATGAATACATATATAATATGCCTTAGTGCATATTAAGATAATCTTATAGCCTTATATTTTAGAGTGTCCAAAATTGTGTTTTAGTTAAATGTAAAGTGAATATAGCATGAATACATATGTAATATGCCTTAGTGCATATTAAGATAATCTTATAACCTTATATTTTAGAGTGTCCAAAATTGTGTTTTAGGTAAATGTAAAGTGAATTTGTTTTTTATAATAGGTTTGGTCTTGCTTAATTTTTTGCATTCTATCTAGCATAATTTTAGTCAATATTGCGATCCAATATTAAGGTTTTTGATGCAGTGTGATGCAAACTCTAACAGACACTGAGTGCAGTGTCAATATAAAGTCAGCATGAGTTTCTCTGTTTCTGTTATTGTGCATTATTATATCTAGGTAATGCATTTTCATTAGAAAACAATGCATTCTCATAATTAAGGTAAATGATAATACATTCTCAAAATCGTAGTGAAATTCATCTATCTAAAAAAATTATAACTACATAAATATGATGCATCAATATATTCTAATAAGGATGCATTTAAAAAGTTTTGTAATACATTTGAACATTTGTATGAAACAAGTTGGATGGTTTCAATTTTAAAATATTAAAATACATATTTATTAGGTCAAAGTGCAAGATATAAATTAAATCTCCTTAAAAACATTAAATCATTGCCTATTAGCTCAAATGGTAGAGCGGTATGTAGTACAGATGTGGGTTCAAATCCTACATAGGCAAATTATTTCTCTAATTTGTATTATACTTGTTTGGAATAAAATGCATTCTCAGAAGTCATTATTCACTACTCCACAAGCTATTAGAATAAATTTTTGAAAATATTTAAAAAGCAACTTTTAGTGCATATATCTGCAATCACAGCACATTCATAAATCTTACTTTTCTTACTTTGAAATCTAAGAAGAAAATATCAAAATTTTATATTCAATATTGGTGTCGTTAGGTAGATTTCGATGAGAGATTTCCAACCACATATTATTTATCAAGGTAATACTTATGTACAAAAAGTTATGTACAAAATAAATAATGCATTAGAATAAATAAATAATATGAAATTAATATTATATTACTCCGTATAATATAATGCACGTAGAAGGTGGAATACAGCTCATTAAATAAGCTTGTGACTTTACCTTTATGCCCTCCGTAAATAAATAGATCCTAATTTCATGGGCAGCATTTATGGATTTCCTTTTTAAATTGTGGAGATTAATAGAGATTTTGGTGCGTACGATCCATCCAATCCAACACATACTATTCATTCTTATTTCTTTCATTATAAGTCATTCTTATTAGAACCAACCCCTATATATATATATATATATATATATATATATATATATATATATATATATATATATATATATATATATATATATATATATATATATATATATATATATATATAGTAAATTCATAGGCTTTGAGAGCTATCCCCTTTTTCTTTTGTTCATCCTAACACGGGGTTAGAATAGTAGATTCATAGAATATATATATATATATATGTGTGTGTGTGTGTGTGTGTGTGTGTGTCTATATATATATGTATATATATATATATATATATACACACACACACATATATATATATATATACATATATATATATATATATATTTAAACAAGTTTTATTAAAAGAAATCATGGTACAAAGGATGGGGCTGGCCGAACCCCTACAAAGGCCCAATTACAAAATGCTAAAGCTGGAAAATAATGTACCAATACAACAAGTACAATAGTCACAGAGCGTGTCAGTAGTGAATAAGATGGGAGCTGTATATTCATCAGACCTTGCTTGTCCTATTTACCTTGTCCGGAATCCATATCACATGTGAGGAATTCTAAAAGCAAGCAAACAAAGGTGCGACAGCAAACCATTTTAGAGTAGAGAACCTGCATTGTGAAGTCAGTCCAGATCCACTGCACACTGATGCCCAATGAAAATGCTCAGTGATGCCTAATGAAACCAATAGATCAACTGCCTATGGACGAATAAGAGATATCTAGAGAGATTGCTTGATAACTATGACCAAATTTCAAACCCAACTTAATTAAAAAAACCTGAAAATCTTGGCTAGAGCAAAACCAAATTAGCTTGACCTATAAACCTTCACACAATTCTTTCCAGATTGCAAATGCGAACCCACGAAATCAGATTCAATTCTTCCAAGCCATACAGAACACATTTGAAACCCCCACCATAGCTTGGCGTGTTAACTGCCAAGCTCGAAATCTCGTCACAAAAACCAAAGTCAAAATGATGATTAAAAGAAATCTTCTAGTTGATCTTCAGACCTGGCTTGTTTAAGCTTCTTTTTGGCTTTCTTTTTTTGGCTTCTAGTCAGTGGTTGCTGTTGTTTTTTAGGAGGAACCTCCTTCTGAGAAGGACATGTTTTCTTGAAGGCTTCTATGATCTCGGCAGCAAATGTATCTGTTGGTTCATCGGGGTCCTCCAGGCAACCTATAGGGGTCTTTTTTCTACCTTCATATAAAAGTCGTGCTTTACTCCTAGTCACCATTTGAGAAGGGGAGAATGTTTTCTTACCTTTAAACACCCTTCCCAAAATAAGTGGTGTCTTAGAGCATCTTGAGGTGTCAATTTGGAGGGGTTTAATTGCATAATCAATAAAAACATTATCTTCACCCTCTGAATGGGTGTACAAAATAGGCTCATCTGTTTCTGGTAGAAAATCCTTAATGGCATTATTACAAAGGGCCATATTTTTATCATTGATATGTGCTAATAGATCTTCCTCTGTTGTAGAATCTATAGTGGTGTAATCTCCCTGGTTGAAAAGAGCAGCAAATGAATTGGGCATGGTGGGTATGAATTCAGCAGCTAAGGGAGAAAGCCTAGATCTTGGCAGCAAAGGGTATTCAATTAAATAAGAAGGTTGGTGTTCACCGTCCTGGTTAGGACTATGACAAAGAGCTAACTGCTTATCCGTTGCATCCTGAGGAACATCAGACCTGTCCTCACCCCTCAAAACCATATCAATCTGACCCTCAGAAACCAAAGTAGAAGTGTTACCTGTGATCCTAATCTCTGAAGCATCTTGGACAGAAATATTACAATCAACTAGACCCTGGTCAACATCCACCTTTATGACTGAGTTATCAACGGCAAAATGATTATTCTCTTCCTTCCCATACTGGGAGAGAGTAATCCTATCCAGAAAATTACCCAAAGCCCTTAAGAAGATCTTTGTTCCATCACCTTTATCACAAGGAATACAGATGTAGTTAAATCCTTCATTTCTATTCTCTGAAATTTGAATGAAATCTCCTCTCCCACTTGACTCATGACTGATTAAAACATTACGATTCAATTCGAACTTACACACTCCCAGAGTTTTTGAATCAGCAATCCTAGGAATAGATTGAATTATCCATCTAAAGGAATCCAAATCAAACCAAATGGGGTATTTCTTTCTCCCGCATTGAAGAATGAATATGTTGTGGTTGTAGAAAGAATAAAAAAGCTCAAATCCTCTTGATGGAGTATGAAACCTGAACTTACAGTTTTTACTAGGAGATGAGGAGAGACAGCCATCCTTGCCGCTGTTAACAATTCGTCGGCGACTGTAGACATAGGAGGCTCCCAGATACCTAGTTTCAGGTGATTTGAACGGCCATCTATGTCTCTGCTGGGAATAACTTCGAGAAAGCTTTCGTTTGCCATGGCGTGCGTTGTAATTCCTGCGTGAAGAATGGTTTAAAGGCCAAAGCCCTTTAAATCTATAGAAAGGTGATTCTTTGACATAGCGACCGACTGAGAATTCGGGATTATGATTAGAGTAGTTCCACCGTCGATCCCCATCGGATAGATTCCTTCAGAAATTTGAACCCCTACCTTTGTAATACCGCCGGCCAGTGGGGGCGTAATTCCGACATATATATATATATATATATATATATATATATATATATATATATATATATATATATATATATATATATATATATATATATATATATATATATATATATATATATATATATGTATGTATGTATGTATGTATGTATCTGTGTGTGTGTGCCACTCTATACCCAAAACAAGATATCTCTATTTTTATCTTCAAAATAAGATAATTTCATAATTTGGTACAGTTAATTGACATTTCACAATTTTTTATTATTATATGTTGATATATATTATTGACACTGTAGGTCATATTTAGAGATAAAAATATGAAAGTCTTATTTGGTTTTACCACTTCCGTCCCAAAATAATTTCTCATTTGACCTTACAGTTTGTAATTGATTTTTGACCGTTAATATCTATATTTAATATTTAGACATTAATTTTTTTTAATAAAAATGTGACATTTCAAAATTTTATTTCAGTAGGAATCGAGTGATATTAAATTTATTATACTATTCAATATATTTTTTCCAAAATTTATGGCCAAAGTTTTTTACTATATAATTTTGACCCTAAAAAATGAAATTAAATATGAATCCTAATTTGGGATGGAGGGAGTATTTGTTATATTTTAGTCTTTTTTTAGTTATTTTCCAAAGTTTAATTACATGCCGAGTATATTTTTTACTACTTCATAATTTTTACTTATTTTTTACAATGTATATTTGTGCGGTTGTGTTGGCTGACCAAATGTCATGTGCCCCGAGTAAAAAAAATTTCTGGATCCGCCACTGAAATGTATATCTCTAAACAATAACTCATAGTTTTCGTAAGGGATTTTGGGTGGATCTACGTTTGGACATCAAAATGTTTATATTTCCGCTGCCCTATCCAAGCATAGTTCCCTTATTCTTCTCTATGATTATTTTGGACTTATTGTTGTATGTCTTCCTTCTTGTTGTAGGTGTTTCAATCTACCGCACCATACATGAAAGCCAAATTGGAAGAGATTCCTTAGTTTTGGGCCGGTAGCTTTCTTGAAGAATTAATTTAAGTTTTAGTTTCACAAGTTTGTATTGAATTGTGTGCTTTCGTTAAAATGAATATATAGTTTAGTTATTATATTGTGGTGTAATAATATGAGTAGTTTGTTAAAAGTTTTATTCTTTGTTTCTGGTGTTTGTATGTTGGTTGCAGTTTCTGCTCTATTTGCAGAAACTATTCTGCTTCTGTTTTGGTCTGTTCTGTTCCGGTTTTTGCTCTTTAAAAAAACTTGTAAATCGGTTCTTTGGAAACAACCGATTTAAAAAGTGTCTCTCAGAACTAGCGCCAGTTCTGGGAGGCACTTTTTGAATCAGTTATTAGTAAATAACCGATTAAAAATTCCCTACATAAGCGCGAATTAAGTATTCCTGGAAGACCTTTTTGCATCGGTTGAACAACCGATGCAAAGAGTATTTGCACCAATTGCATTGCTACCTTTTGCACCAACCGATTCAAAAGGTCAAATTCAAGAAACCAGAATCTTTTGGGGTTCAACCGATTCAAAAAATAATTTCTGTAGTAGTGTAAAATAATGATTTGGGGTCTTTGATTTTCATAGAGTTTAGGAAAAGTGAAAAAGAAATTATTAGAAAATATTGAGAAGAAAGACATATTTAGCAACATATTTTTATCTTCCAATGAAAAGTGAAGATTATTTTGAAATGGACAAAAAAAGAAAAAAAAAATACTAACTTTGCTAGAAGAAAGAAGAAATGCAAAGTTTACTTGTCTCTTAACTGTTGAGGTGAAGGCTTAGAGATTTACACTTCATGGAGGAGTAGTGATGTTTGAAGAATGTAATGAAAGAAAAAAACGCTGTGCTATAAAGTGTATTACAAATCAAAAGTTGTTTTGCCTTTTGAGAATTTTTTGCTTCTCCATGGGCAGAATTTTGAACAATGGAAACAATATTCCACTTTTGTTGCGCCAGAATGGAAAGTGCACCGGAAGAATCTGGAATTCGGATAACCGAAAGTAGGAAACGTCACATTCAACGCACAATCATTCAGTCCTCGCTGTCGCCGTCCAATGGGCTCCGCCAGAACCCGCCTTCCCGGAATTGGTCCCACACATCCGAATCGAAGCCGTCGTCGGCGTCCCCGCAGCGGCTGCCGTCCTTCTTCTCCTCCCTCTCCTCGTCAAATTCGCACCGCCGTAGTTCTTCATCAGTCGTCGCCGGTCCTTTTCCGGTCCGAGACAGAGAGACCTCTTTCTCTTCAGCCTCTTCCGTCGACGACGCAATCTGCTTCGCCGTCGTCTTCCTCATCATCCGCTTTTTCTTATTTTTCCTCCACGCTTTCCGAAAAAGCCCCGTCGGGAGCTTGTAAACCGCCAGCACGACGAAATGCATAACGACGCAAGGGCTGCAGCAGCAGCAGACCATCGCGCAAGCCGCCGTGCTCCCCGCGCACTCCCTCATCGATTTCTCCGTCAACAATTGATGCTGCCGGTTTGAGACAGGCGGCTCCACCACAGACTGTCCACTCATCGCGTAGACTCCGGCGAGATTCGCATTACCAAAACCTCTTAGATTCAAATCAGAAATTCTAATCAACTTAGCAGAACAAATCAATGATCGAAAAGCTGATGAATGGATATCATTTCAGAGGGATCTGGCGAACGGGTTTGGCAATTCCGAAATTCAGATAGAATTGAATTGGGGGAGATGTAATATAGGCGAGATAGAATATGTTGTTTTTATTTTATTTTCATTTTGTTTGTAATTTTAATTCGCCGGTCACCCAAAGTTATTGTCCTAATTGACTTTTATGGTTATTTTAACATAAATTAAATTATTTTTATTGACATATTTTACCAAAAATTGGTGTATTAAAACTAAATTTTAAAATAAATCCAATTGTATGAAATTGGTGTTAAAACCAAATATTTTTTTTCTTAATTTATAATCAAAGTAATAAAAAAAGTCCAATTATGACAATAGCTTTGGAGTGGAAGGAATATTTTTGTTGGGCATTATACAATGTAGTTTCTTCAAAAGACTGGTCATAGATATTTTTGCCCTAAAATAAAATTTAATTTTAGGTATATAATATTTGGTTGAAAAAATTATAAATTTAATTTATTTTGTGAGTCTATTGCGTTTTTTTGAAGCATAACTTAATGGATTCTTAATTAACCTGAAACACTCAAACACGCATTAGTTCATATATTGTTAGTTAGCATTAATATACGAGTTTTAGCAAACTAATGCTAACAACTATCAATCCCTTTTTCAACCTGAAAATCAGATTGTTCTTTAGATATAGAAGAAGGCAGAAGCATAGAGAGCTTGGAAGCAAGAATCTTAGTGCTAATCTTGCTTAAGAAAGTCGATGAGCTGAAAGACCTAAAGTCGATAATGCTAACGATTCCAGGTGTTTTCTTAAGTCTTCGAAAGACTTTTCTTTTGGATCATTGACACAATTCCTCATAGTCATAATAAATTCATTGAGGATTTTGTCTACACATATGTACTTTTGTTCAATCTTAGCAACCTGTGAAATCTATCTCTATATATTCAAATGTCAAGAGCATGACCATCATTTTTAGCACCCTCCATGGAGAAACTCTTACTCAACCAAGTGCAAGTATGAATGTCATTCTCCATGAGAAATATTCTCGTTAATATTCAACGCAAAGAAGATTTCAGTGCTCCCACTAGTCTTCTACAAGACTTATCATACTTAATGAGCTCATACCTAATTATGATTAAATTCACATTTCAGCTTCTCGAGGATTGCCTTAAACAATAGATATATCACAATATATCTCAGCATTTAAGCTTGTCTCATGTCTAGGGACGTTTTGATATAAAAATTTATGCTAGAGTCCTAAGTAAGACACTATAAGGCATAAAGCTCATCCATGACTAGTATGATGTTCTTTCCACGAGTCTTGATTAAGAGTATCTATCCTTTTGATCATATCTAAATATATTAATGATTCCAAAATTTTCTTTCAACTTCATTCAAAAGTCCTTCAAACAATTTGAAAACTCTTGATATGTTCTTAAGAATCATATGTCATGTTTATCCAAGAAATGAATAAACATGACGTAGTATGAATATTCAACATTGGTTATTTTGTGAAGGCCCACATACATCGATATGTATATCTGTCAATGAATAAGAATCGCATGCATCATTTGATTCAAAATCATATGATACCATTATCACCGACGAATTGTGAACTGGGAATGCGTTACTCGTTCATTTAGCCTACACATGTAACGCCTTACAAAATGGCCTAATAGTTAGCCAATATTTTAAATAAATAAGTATTATTTATTTATTGAGACTCCTTATTTTAAATAATAAATATTGAGATTTTAATCTCTTTCAATGGACTTCCAAAGTTAATGTATTTTAATAACGGACCTCTCAACATTAATTAGGTAAATAAATTAATTAATGATTGGGATGGATCCGGAAGTTTGAAAATAAAGTTTTGAGAAAAATAATTCGAAGATATCATAAATTTAGTTTTGACTGGTTATTTCTGAAAACACAATCGGTTTTCAATTCGGGCAAGTTCGGGGGGGGGGGGGGG